TTGGAGTACTTTTATAGCAATAATAATTTTAGAGGATGAGGGCTTAAAACCTAAGCAAGATGTTAATGTGGTCTCATATTTTGATTGTGATACTGCTAGTTAATATCAATGTATGTCATGCAATGGTTTCTTCATGGATTTTAACATGGTAATCTCTGGATCTGAAAGTGCTCACGATTATTAATTATCTCATGTTACAATTACTTTCTACTGAATTTGCAGTTGTACAAAAATAACAAAGATGATTTTGTTATGTCAATTTTCAGCTATTATAAACTAAAATAGCTTAGTGCTAATCTTTTTTCAGAATAAGTAAAAGTTTATGGGTTTTAGTCTCATAACATTCATCATACAATGAATGAATGAATTAAAAGATAAATACATATATATATATATATATATCTTTCATTGTATAACCTACCAACATAAAATAAGGAAAAAAAAAAAAAGATCGTTTTGTTGTTTTGGGTCAATCTGGGAATTTGGTACTTCGGTAAGTAGTGGGTGAACTAGGGATGCTGTTTTAGACTATGGGCCTTGGCTTAGTCCCGAGTTATTGGGTAAATCTTGCCATTTGGGTCTTTAACCAAGGCCTGAAGAAGAAGATATTGGATTTAAAGAGTCTGGGTGATGCTGTTGTTGATTATGGGTCAAGCAGATATTACTGTTTTTGACTGGGTGATGCTGTTTTTCAGTATGGGCCTTGGCTCACAAAACAGAAAACACCAGTCTTTTTAACTCATGTTGTTACTTGTTAGAATTTGTTATTAATAATAGAGAATTTTTGTAAACTTATATCTATAAATTCAACATTTTTATAAAAAAAGAAAAATTTATCCTATAGCTTAGTTAATTAGAGTAAGAAGAAAAGAGTTCAGTCTCTATGGAATCAAATTTTCACTTTTTGCATTTTCAACTACAACAAAAAAAAGCAATTAAAAATTTAAAACCAATAGTCCCATTGTACCAAATCTTCTCACCATCCTCCACCAAAGGGACCCAGAGATTCTTTATTTTATGATATGAAAATGGTGACATTTTAAATCCTGATTCTTCAATCCAACCTTACTGGACATTGACTCTTGATCCTCCAGAAAGATCAAAAAGCAGTATGATCCTAGTTGAGTTGTCAAGGTTAAACAATATGAACCATTCACCTTCTCAACAATCTCTCTTTTTTCTTCTAGATGTTTTGCATCTTCTTGGATTCTTCCACAACTTCTTATCTCCTTTTTCCCTGCCCCACAACTTCTTAACATTTTTAGTACCGCATGAACATGCTTGTGCGGAAAAGCGCAGTAAAAGCAATCCCAAACGCACTAAGCACTAATGTAATTAGCATGGATTTTCTGGTGCCAAGTTTATGTTAGCTGCTATTAGGATTCAGACAGCTTTCCGAGCATACATGGGGCAATTTGTCTCCGAATTACAAATTATGTAAACTAAAATAATTTCTGCTGCTTATCCCAACTGGTAATATCTTAACATCTTGTTTTTTCAGGCAAGGAGGGCATCTAGGAGACTGAAGGCTCTAAGGAAGTTCAATGTGTTGATCCAGAGGCATCCAATTGAGAAGCAAAAATCTTCAACTTTAAGGTACTTGCATTCATGGTACAATATTCAGTCCCAGATCAGAGCTTGCCGGCTGTGTATGGTCACAGAAGGCTGGACTACGCAAAGGAAATTGGAAAATCAAATGAAACTGGATGCTAAGCCTAATGAGCTGGAGTTATTTATGATCACCTACAATTGTGCCCCCTTGACTTCGGCAGCGTATTTTTGTTTGGATTACTAGAAACTGAATGAAAAGTTTCAATCTTCAGGTGGAATGGCCCGGTGGCTCAGAAAGCATGGAGCAAAGTTTTTCTAGGATTCAACAGAGGGAAGAAGCAACTCTGAAGGGCGAGGGAGCCATGGCCTATGCCTTCTCTCATCAGGTCACGTCTCTGAACCACGAAAAATGATCAGAGTTTCTATGTTTTGATGCGCTTCCATGGCTTAAATAAGTAGTGTTCGTACAATTTGCGGTGGAGGACCAATGCAAGCCAATATCTGGGGCAAGCCTCCTTTGGCGTGGGAAGAAAAAACTGGGGATGGAGTTTGGAAGGAAAGATGGATATCGGCTTGGCCATGGGAGGTCAGGGTTCCATCTCAGGACAGCCACCCAAAGAGCGCTAATGGAAAGCAGGGAAGCAAGGTAGGGAAAACAGTGAAATCTCCTTTCTCAAATGGGAAGGTTTCTGTTCCTAAACCCAAAAAAGTTGCCCCATCAGATGGGGTGAAGCCTTAAGGTTGTCCAAGAAACGTTTTTCCCATTTTATAATTTTTAGGGATTTGAAAGTTGAATTGGACCTTCTGTAAGAAAAAAAAAGAGAAGAGAATCAAGACATCTTAACATTTAAAATAATAGAACATCTAATCACAATCATTAGATATGTGAGACATGATATGGACTTTAAGTTTATTAAATTTATCATGTGGTTATTATGGAATGCAGAATGTCTTGATTTTCTTTTTTCCCCACTTGTTATATATATCATTTTCCAATATTCAACATATTTAATGCTTCAGGGAACACAACCAGTCTTGATGCTCATTCTTAATCGGATCCCTATGATGGTTCTATGTTTTATGCTACCCTGATGTTCAGCATCCTCATCCACATGCTCTAAATCTTGACCTAGGTGTTGGAACTGCATCCAGTTTC